CGGCCCCCGGCGCTCGCCCAGGTCTCCCTGAGGCCCGCGGGTGGAGTCGCCGCAAGCCCCGCCTCTCTGCCTTGCAAGCTCCCCGGGACCGGACCTAGAGGGCGCCTGATTGGCTGGGGGGCGGAGACGGGCGAGGGGGCGGGGCCACGCGAGCCCGAGGCCCGCGTGACGGACATTCGCCTGCGTTTAAGTCAGAGGCAAAGGACACCCAAGTCTCTCTGTTTTGGGAGTTGGGCGCGCCACTGTGAGTGGCCATCGAACACCGAGCATGCGTTTTCAAGGACTCAGTGCAGTGATTACCCGTGGACGCGCCACGGCTCTCCGAGGGCCTTAGCAATAAGCAGAAAACTACAACTCCCATTAGCCACCACGGCCACGAGTCTCTCTGCGTAATCACGTAGCCCTTCGCCGCTCCTGCACAAAATAATCCCTTCATTTTTCTGAAGGTATCGGGGATAATATTGAACTTTTCTCTTTATCGGGACAGTTATAAATGTTACCGCAATAAGAGACGTTCTCTAGGGGAAGGAGGGCTCGGCGATCGGGTAAAGAGCTAGAAAAGACAAAATAAAGTGCTGCGGAGGAATTTGGGTTCCGACGTGAGACGACGGAGTGCGAAGAGTGAAGGCGATTGAGAGGGGCTGAGGGAATTGTCCTCGGTGCCAGGGACTGTCCTTAGGCCCCAGGCCCCTGCGCACCCCTGTCGTCTGCAGGTCAGTAAGCAAGGCGAGCTTGGGGGTGGCCAAGTCGAGGGCCCTTCACCCCTGATGGTCCCCGTCTACTGCCCTTGTTACTGGTTTCTTTCGGTTTGAGACCGACTGAATGGGGGAGCTTCACTTCCTGTTGGGGGGAGGGGAGGGAGCCTTTCCCGGAGGAGGGGGAATTTACCACTTCCTGTGTGTGGGGAGGGTGATGGTTTGGGGGTGTCCATCCCACTTCCGGTGCTGCCGAGGGCGTGAGAAGGTGGTGTTTGATGCCACTCTCGGAGATGGTGTCTTAGCTTTGGGGATATGTGTTATGCGAAAAGTTAGGTTATTCCACCACGTTGTGCAGGTGATTACAGCCTCCATCAGATAATAACCAGATGGATAATCCCCCCCAACAAAATTTTCCTAATGCTTTGTTCAAGGAATTGGAATCCCCTTTCAGCGTTCCCTGCCCGTATATACAGGACTCCCGACTATTGTGTGACCCCTGAATTTCAACCCTACCCTGGCCCCCTACCCAAGTCCCGCTGCCACTCAGGGCTCTCTGCCTTGGCATGCAGCAGGAAGCACTCCCCTTTTAAGGAGGTGGTTTATTAGAGGATTGAATATTTGACGTTTGTCGTGGAGCATTTGCATCATAGCACAGTGAAAGTGTCATGCGAAGGTACACTTGGTACCTCATTCATAGACCTGCTGGTTTGGGATTACAGATTCTGCCCTGTACCTGAGAATAATTTCCTTGGCCTTAAAAATGCTTAAGTGCAGAGCCAGCAGGTGGCATGGTGGTAAGGGGCGCTGGACTCCCACATGGCTGGACCTGGCAGCTTGCCTTTTCACATTCCCTCTCTCTTTCTCTCTCTCTCTGGTCAAATTAAAATAAATAAAGTTACATAAAATAATTCTTTAA